TTACTACCTCTGTGCGAATCTCGAAATTAGCACTTCGATCATTGATGCACAGCAGCCCCCCTATTCATGGCGTGTGCGTGGGGCCGTTCGAGCGGTCGCGGTTGTCATTTCCTGCTTTTCGATGTCCCACGGTCGGGTGGAGGTGTCTTCCTTTGCCAGGTCCTGGACTCGGTGGGAATCGAGCTCCGTCACTCCGTACTCCATCTCTCCATCTTCCCGTCGTTGCGTTGTATTGCCATCGCATAAGCAAATATCCCGCCCTCCCCGTCTATCAATTACTGAACCTGTAGCAGCTGCCCCTCCGGCAGCGGCGATAGCGCGGTAAATGCGTGTGCGAAGGGCTTCGTATGGTTCATGTGGCGGCTTAACAGAAATTCCTTCGTTTTCACATGCTTCTTCATCGCAACTCGGCAGCATTCCCCTGGTGCTATCGATTGTCTGCGTTGCAAAATAGAAATTTTCCAGAAGTATTTGCTGTGTGCGCGTCGGAAGGAGGGCCGGGGAAGTGTACAGTCATCGCGGTCTTTTGATGATACATTCACTTTTCAGCGAACAAAAGCTTCCCGGGTACGATGAGTTCGACTGCCGAACTGGGCGCATACATACAGGACGACCTGCCGTTGATGTCCGAGCACCCGCCTGATTCCGAGGTTTCTTTCACATTCTTTCTTTTTCGCCCGTTTTTTGATGCTCCCTGCTTTCGTCACCGTGCCGGCCCTTTCCCCGTTGATACAGCTGCCGCTGTTTCTGTTCGGCTCGCAATTCGGCACACATTAATGCCTAGCAGCTTCTTCGACTGGCACACCGAACAACTCTTTTGAGCATTCGTTTCGTCTATGAAGAACTGTAACATGGTAAGCGTTCTTCCTTCGTACCGAGTGCTGCCCCTGGAACGCATCGGCTTTGAAATGTGGTGGGATGAGTGAAGGGAGCAACAGGTGAGTTAGTAACAGTTTAAGGGTATATTTTGCAAAAATTTAAGAAAATAGCATCAAATTGTAATTAAACGGCTAAACAAGAATGTTAAGGCATGCGAGTAATCCAAGTTGAATAAGTAAAAAAAAAAAAGAAAGTTGTTTTACTGTTCACAGAGGAAACCCTCAACTTACATGATGTGCTTTTTTACCTTACCCATGCATTCAGCACCCATACCAACAATATCAAGACATTTGTGAACGGGCATCCTATGTTTCTGATGATACTGGGATTCCCCCAAACTCTAAGCGCAGCTATGCCAAGCCCTTACATTCCTCCTGTTCGAGGCAACTAGTATAGCCGTTCACTTTCTCGAGGTATTCATATGACGTCCACCCATTGGCAGATTTTATTTCCTTGCATACTCACACTGATAGCCTGCATGCCTCAGTTGCCTCGAATATGCTCCAAAACACTGCCATAGGCACTTTTGGATAGACTGTCCGATTCATGATGTATCACTGAACATGTCTGTTTTCAGGAGAAAGTGGCCACTGCTTATGGGAATATTAAAGTAACAATATATGGCAATCGCAAATTGAGCCCAATTGTTACATTTCACGATATGGGACTCGATTGTAAGCTGCTTCGCTGAGCTTTTCCATGAACTTACCTTAATTATGCTGAAATTCCAGGGAAAAATATTGTAAATTTTTAAAAAACCTTACATATGATATTTCAAAAAATGGAAGAGTTTTCTAGCGGAGACAAATTTTCAAAATTTTTTCCAATATGCAACGGCTGGCGAATTTACATCAAATTTCTGCATTTACAATATCAACGCGCCAGGGCAGGAAATGGATTCCGCACCGCTACCCGACAAGTTAGTTTTTGACTGTTCAGTATAAATTAGCAACACTTTGTCCACTTATTATGCGTTTTGTGCTGTGTAACAGCAGTACAAAACGCATATTGTTACGGGGTTGTCT